GGGATGGAAGGAGGGAGGGAGGGAGGGAGGGAGGGAGGGAGTGCGTGGCTTGCAGGTAGGCGCGGTACACTATACATAGGCAAGGCTTATAAAGTGGAGTGGACATGGGAGAGCGAAGAGCAAAAATGTCAGAAGGACTTAGGGACAGGATTTCGGTCGTCGTGGGGGCACTTTACAGGTTACCCCGGGTCATTCCTCTCTCCTCCCTCGCCCCACAAGGAAAGACATGATGCAAGGCGTGGGCGTGAGAGCCACGCGAGGATGTTGTGTCGGGTGGGTGGTGGGATGCAGACTCCTTGTGCCCTGCTTTCGTTTGAAAGTCATCCATGCTTGACACCCGGCGTATATATTCGCGAGGCAGCACCCATCTCAGTCAAGCCTCCTGGTCGGGGTGTTCGCCAAGTGCAAAGACGTGGCACAAGAGCTCAAAACGAAAATGAACATGACCACACGTCTCCAAGCCGGACTGCCCGGCGGCGTCAAAGCTTCCCCGGCGTTGTGATTCTTTTGCCTTTGAACAGTCGGTTTTCTACTCTTGGGCTGGTTGGTGACACACCTCCCTCCCAACCGAGCCACAAGCCACCGTTGGCCTCACCCCTGTGCCAAGTCGATGCCCCTCGTGCTTTTGTGTCCACCCAATCCCCGCACTAGCCTCGTCCTACTCCTCGCCTGCACACCTCTCGGGGTGGAGGGAATTACAGCACATACAATGGTTCATAAAAAAATCACCCATGCCTTTTCTTGGCAATTGCCGTCCTCCTTGCCTCTCTCTCATTCAGAACCCACGCCCTGCCGCGCTGCTGGCGTCCGTCCAGACGCAGTCACTGCAAAAAATTCACCTTTTTCATGTCACACTCTCCTGTGGCAATTTCTCCTTCCCACACAGCCACAAAACCACGTCTTCGAATCCGCCGTGGCCGTGGTGCGATCCAGTCAACACCATTGGCCCTCAGCCCTCCCCTGAACGCATTCTCAGACCACCGGTCATCAAATTCCACACCTTAGCCGGCACCTGACGACAATACAAATGCTCAACATAGGTCATAAATTGCCCTCTCTGTCCGCAGATCCTCCATTCGCGCAAAACGAGACCTCCCCAGGCTGTATGCGGGCACTCCCGGGAATGTGTTCCCATCACGCGACATTTTCCTGTCATCTCTCGTGGTTTTCCTAACCGCGGAAACGGCAATACACGTACATCTCGGAAACATACGCGTCTTGCCTTTTCTTTTATGTCATGTTTGGTCGTTTCATATTACTGACGACACCCGATTTCAAATTCATTAGCTGTTCTCGTCTCCATCATCCCTCCTACACAATGTCCTGGCGCCCGTTCCCGCAACTGCGCTATGTTTTCTTTCCCCCTTCAAAGAAGGAGAAATACGCATCGCTCACTATTACCTCTATTCTCCCTGCTCTATCCCGGTGATGACAGTTCTTTCCATTCAAGCACAACATCGACATCCCCAAATGCCAATTTCGTTTTTCCTTTCACCCTCGTGAACGCTCTCTTCCCCTGGCCCGGGTGCCTTTCCCCTCCGCATACGCATTCCATCATGCATTACTTTCTAGCCTTGGCCCCATTTTTTTTAAGAAAATGTTTGTTTGCGGCAAGCGTGCCCCAATGACTCGCGCCAAACTCAAATCTAAACGAGCCCTCGACTCAACCTCCCCTCAGGAGACCCAAGTAGGGGCGACAAAACCGTACGAAGTATAAACCACCATCAACCCTCCCTATTCACGTCGCCGCTTCAAATCTCAACCGCTTCCATGCGCTTCCTCCCAGTGGATCGCCATGGGTCACCTATGATAACATCCTTCCTCCCCCCTCCCTAATCTTTGTACACCCGTTTTTCCCCCTCTCCCTCCCTCTGTTGCCTCACATTCCTCTTCCCCTCGCTCTGAAACGCACTATCTCCGCTCCTTATGCAGGTGTCTCAGAGCTAAATAGGCCGCTATTGTCAGACCCAAGTAGATGGCGAGGGCGCACCCGAAATTCTCGAGTATCGTACCTGGGGTATTGAGAGGGAGGTAGTCGATGACGAACTCCACGTTGGTCCCTGTGGGCAGCAAGGAAGGAGAGAGGGAGCGAGGGAGGGAGGGAAAGAGGGAGGGAGGAGGAAATGGGTGATGTGGACTCTTTTCGCAGGGATGTTCAGTGATAAGACAGGGTAGGCAGGAAGAAAGGGAGCAAGGG